CCCCAAAACCCCAAAACCCCAAAACCCCAAAACCCCTTTCCTAATAGTGAAATTGATACATTATATAACATTTCTTATAATATTAGGCAAGGAACAAACCTAATGCGTCCTTGCTAGCTATCTCTTTAGACAGAAGGAGCTGCTTCACTTGACAGAGATTCTTCCTTCTGTTTCCTCTTCTTTTCATTAAGAATTTTCTTAAGCTTATTTTTGCCTCTTTTTGAGTGGAAAATTAGGTAGCATTCTTGACAGCACCCTTTGGCGTAGTGAAGTTCATCAGTGTGTTCACAGTTCCAAGCCTTCTTTGTACGGCCTCTCTTATGATAGCAGGTGCTGCACATGCCCTTTGCGTAATGTTTCCTCATAGTGTGACCACAATTGGTGATCTCCTTGAGTTTCTTGTCAATAGAAGAATCTAATTTCTTAGTCTTAGGTAGTACCAAATTGTGATCATACTTCTTTTGGCCAATGGGAGACCTTGATACCTCAGGTAGAGGAGTTGTCGAAGTCTGAGGTGTATTTCCACGTAAGACTGGCCTAAACCCTTCTGCTTGTTGCCCATTGCATGAAATTGGGAAACAACTCGCATGTTTTGGTGGTAAGTTACTATTTCTCTGATTTGAATATTTGAAGATATTAGGATCTCTAAAATTAAAGGCTACCGAAGGGAAAACACTCGAAGGGGAGTCTTTTGTAACATCTTGATAAATTAGATGAGATATCTCTTGGTTCTCATTAAGGACGGTATAATTAAAATGTTTTGTAGGAGTTGGTAACCAATTGAATCCGGCCGTATATCCTTCATTAAGAGCATTAGGAGGACCTAGATTTTTCCTTAGAGTAGCATAAGATTGTGAACCTCATCAGTTTTCTATCCCCATTCAGAAGTTTTCAAAGGCAAGTTTTGGTTTGATGCTCTCTTCCGTATAATTCTTAGTATCAAGATTCTGTGATAAGTAATTCAAACCTAAGAGATTTCCTGCCTGTATGGGCAGAGTAGACACCCCAAAAGGCTGTAAGGCAACTCTTGTGTTTGAAGGCTGACTTATATTGCATTTTGTATTATAAAAGCTCATCTTATTCGAATTATTTACTTCCATTTTATTAATCTCTTCAAAGAAATTTTAACTAAATTTCGGAATCAATTCTTAACAGTCCATAAGGGGTTTTGGGGTTTTGGGGTTTTGGGGTTTTGGGG